CTCCAAAAATAATAATTTCCACAAATCTAGTGTTCCTTTGCTTCTCTATTTTTTTTTTTTTGAAGCTGTTGTTTCGCGATTATTGACACCAAATTAATTGACAATGTTTTACAATATATCCTTGAAATTTACATTATAAAATTTCGCCCCAAAAATGGATCAACAACCCCCAAAAAAAAATAATTCTTCGAATCCGTATCTCGTGTGAATTAATAATTTCCACAAATCTACTTCCCTCTGCATTTTAATTTTTTTTTTTAAAGCTGTTGTTTCGCGATTAATGACACCAAATTAATTGTCAATATTTTACAATATATCCTTGAAATTTACATCATAAAATTTCGCCCCAAAAATGGATCAACAGCCCCCAAAAAAAATAATTCTCAAAAAATAATAATTTCCACAAATCTAGTGTTCCTTTGCTTCTCTATTTTTTTTTTTTGAAGCTGTTGTTTCGCGATTATTGACACCAAATTAATTGTCAATATTTTACAATATATCCTTGAAATTTACATCATAAAATTTCGCCCCAAAAATGGATCAACAACCCCCAAAAAAAAATAATTCTTCGAATCCGTATCTCGTGTGAAATAATAATTTCCACAAATCTACTTCCCTTTGCATTTTAATTTTTTTTTTTTGAAGCTGTTGTTTCGCGATTAGTGACACCAAATTAATTGTCAGTGTTTTACAATATATCCTTGAAATTTACATCATAAAATTTCGCCCCAAAAATGGATCAACAACCCCCAAAAAAAAATAATTCTTCGAATCCGTATCTCGCGTGAAATAATAATTTCCAAAAATCTACTTCGAGACAATTATAGATCCGATCTATATCACGAAGATGCACGCGTTGGGAGCGTTAACGAGACAGCTCTGGAGCTCATTAAGGCCAACGCTTTATCACGATCGAGGCAATATACATATACCGAAAGGTCTGTTTACGAAATTGAAAACAGTGTCGTATCGTGGCCGCCGATCTCCTCGACCCACCCCTCGATCCCCCTCGTCGCTAGTTAGTGACTCGAACCGTGGCGATCTACGATCTATCGATCCCCCGAAAATTAGCATTCGAGGCGTGAATCTTTTTCCCGGATCGAAACTCGAATCGGGGCCCGGCGATAACTTTTCGAGTAATTTCTACGCCCCTGGGCGTCGATCACGTGCAAGATCTACGGGAAAAAGTCGATGCGATCTACCTCAATATGCGTTTTTAATCTCAATATTTTCTAAGGCCAGCAAAATTTTAACAATTTTTTGAGACACATAGAATATTAATAATTTTTAATATTTTTTGGGGGGGGGGGGGAGGCAAGTAGAGGAAATTATTGATTCAAATTGAGATTTAGAGATTTAGAGATTTAGAATTAGATTATGAATATCAAGGAAATTTATTCCAAAATTGAAAGTTTTATTCACTTTTATGTGAAGAGAAAATATATTAAATTATGAATAGAATACTATACAATATACATATATTAAGATATATATATATATATATACAAAAAATGGCGGAGCAAAGGGAAGTAGATTTTTGGAAATTATTTTTTAAATTTCGAAGATATATTGTAAAATACTGACAATTAATTTGTTGTCGCTAATGCAAAAAGCTCGAAAGATAATTAAGTAAGAAGTGAAGCATATTTGCACCAAAAAATTTTTAAAAATCATTTCCATCATCAATGCTTGTACCATGTGTTTCCAAAAAAGAAAAATATGATTTCAATTTGAACGATTAAGTATAATCGAGGAATTGTTTATTTTGAAAATGTGGACAAATTTGTAAAACACAGATGGAATGAAAAAAGGTCAAAAAGGTGCAAATTTTTCCCCCAAAAAAAGAATGTTTTATGAATTTTTTTTTATTTTGTTCATTTTGTTTGCATGGAGTTGATTTGTTTATGGAGACGTATTGAAATAGCGTAGAGTCACTCAGGATTATTAGGTATTTAGCTAATTTGGCCTGGTATCCGTAGTGTGAAAACGGTGAACGGATTGGCGTGAATCAGCCAGCCCCCGCGGAGCCAGATGGTCCGTGCCCCATTAGTTTGGCCCTTGTTTCCGATAATTTTAAGGCGACCGACCATTCCGTGCCCTGATATACGATCAGACATCGGTTTCCCCCGCCTTTGAAAATTATCCGTCTCGAACAGCCTGGCTCGTAAAATATAGCCACGCGCCTCCCACGTTTCTCCCAAAAAAAAAAAAAAAAACCACGCCTAGAACCATTTTAGCTTCTTTGAAAATAAAATGAAACGTTTGCTTCCATAGGAGTTTTCATAAAAATTAGCAATGCATAATATTTAATTTCATCATGTAAAACTGTCCCTCCATTTTAGAATTTTTCGCACAGAAATAAAATAAAGTAGCCACAATTTTGGGGGATAAAATACAATATTTGCTTCCATAGGAGTTTCCATATAAATTAGTGTTCTATAATATTTAATTCATCATTCAAAACTTTCACTTCATTTTAGAATTTTTGGCACAGAAATAAAATAAAGTAGCCACAATTTTGGGGGATAAAATACAATATTTGCTTCCATTGAGTTTCTATAAAAATTAGCAATGCATAATATTTAATATCATCATCTAAAACTGTCTCTCCATTTTAGAATTTGGGAGATAAAATAAAATATTTGCTTCCATTCAGTTTCCATAAAAATTAGTGATTTATAAATATTCAATTCATCATCTAAAACTACCTTTTATTTTTTTATTTTAGATTTTTTGGCACAGCAATAAAAGAAAATAGCCTCAATTTTGGGAGATAAAATACAATATTTGCTTCCATTAAGTGCTCTATAATATCTAATTCATCATCTAAAACTACCTTTCATTTTTTTATTTTAGATTTTTTGGCACAGAAATAAAAAATGGAGCCCCAATTTTGGGAGATAAAATACAATATTTGCTTCCATTAAATTTCTATACAAATTAGTGTTCTATAATATTTAATTCATCATCTAAAACTATCTCTCCACTTTAGATTTTTTGGCACAGTAATAAAATAAAATATTGAATTGAATTTGGAAATAAAATAAAATATTTTTTCTATACAAATTAGTTGCATTAGTGACAACAAATTATCATGTTCAAATTGTCCACATTTTCAAAATAAATAATTGTTTAGTCAATTACACTTCATCATTCAAAATTGAAATCATTTTTTTCTATTTTGGAAACACATAGTTCAAGCAATACAAATGATTTTTAAAAATTTTTAGTGGCCAATATGCTTCATTTTTTACTTAATTTTCTTTCGAGCTTTTTGATCATTTACAAATTGTCCAAATTTTCAAAATAAATAATTGTTTCCTCAATTAATTCATTATTCAAAATTGAAATCATTTTTTTCTATTTTGGAAACACATAGTACAAGTGTCTAAATTAACGATTTAAAAAATTTTTAAAAACAACGAAAATTCAAATACAAAATACATTAAATCAAGAATATTGCTAATTTCTCAAAATTTGCATCTCAAACAATTTAAAAATTATAATAGCATGAATCTTTATGCAAAAATTCCCAGACCAGCAAGAAGTTTGCAAAAAGTTTGCATAATTAACACAACTTTCTCCACAAACATCTAATCTAAGCTTCTAATCCACCCTCCTATATTCCTCGACATCGCACATAGAATTAAACGATCTCTTAGATTTCACGAGCTACCAAGAACTCGCGAACGAAAGAGAAACCATTAAAATCAATCAGCGTGGAAACTCGTGGAAAGGTTTTCCATCGAAGGAAACAGAAATGAATCATTTATAGTAACCGCGTGCTGCTGCAACTATAACAGTTTCCAGCCAGGGGAAGCTATGCGAGATATCCGCGAAAGCGAAAGGTGGATTCTTTGCCGGTCGTTTTTCTCGTACTCTCGACTTATTAGAGAATCGTAAGAGTTAAAATTACGCCAGGCAAGAAATGTCGTGTCTGTGCTTTCTCGCGAGAGGAATTTTAGTTGCAAAAGCTGGCTTGTTTACTTTACTGCCTGTTGATTGCAATTGCACAATCTGTTCGCTAAAGAGGCGATTTAACAATCGTGGACATCAATTTCGAAACGATAGTAAGTGCAAATTATAGTATATAGATAGTATCAAAGAACCCTAACAGGGTTTTTCAAAATGAGTCTTCGTTTTTGAGATATTTTTATTTAAAGTTTGTTATATAAATAGTAAAAGAATTATTCTTATTTGTTTTGTAGATTTGGTTAAGTCGATAGAGTGATTAGATATGATTCTGTTGGTCCTCGGTTCGAATCCCCACCGAGTCACTTCTTTTTTTTTTGGTTTTTTCAAATGGAAAAATATATTTTTTTATTATGTATGTGTGATGGAAATGTTGAATGGAAAATCTTTCAATTTTTAATGCAAAAATTACTTTTTTAATAACAAGTATAGTAGTAAAATAGAATTATATGTCATTATCAAGTAAATTCTGTATTATTTGTATCAATCAATTTTGATTTTCAAGTGTATTTCAAATTATTTATTTATAACAATATTTCAGAGTTTATTTGTTAATTAATACGAATTACTAATATAGAAAAATATATGTAACATATAATATTATTTTACTACACACCATTAAAAATTTGATTTAAAAGAATATTATTTTCAAAATATAAATATAATTAAAAATATATTTTTTTTATTTAAAAATAGTAAAAGAAACCAGTCAATTTAATAAAAATTTTCTGAAGAAATAATCGTACCTAAGATTGAAGATTGGACTGATTAATAAACGAATGCATATTGGATAATTAAATATATTATTAGTGAAAAATTTGTTGTACGAAGAAAATTTTTTTTCAATTGTTAGTGGATTTTTTAATTGAGGTGCATGAAAAGGTTTGAAGTTGCTTTTCTATTTCTTTAATTTGGTGTTCAACAGATTGTTTTAACAGATCTAATTAACATTAGACTATCAATTTCCTATTACAAGTAATCTATCGTTGAATTTGAATTTGTCTGTAGTTGCAACGTTTGGACGGGGCTCAAGCCTCCCACCAAATGGAATTACTGACTGTCCACGGTGAATTTTCACAAACGGTGCCAGCAATGGCGTCACGGACCGGAACTGTCAACACTCGGAAGTTTATGTCCGTGTAATTCAAAGTTGACAGCAAAAAGACTGGCATCTTGTCCGAGATCATCCATATCAATCCACGGTTCACCTGGAAACAATTAAACCTCATTTTTAAGCACATTTATTAAAGAATTATATATATATATATATATAATAAGTGTTTATTTTTCTAAAAAAAATTTTAATAGAAGATTCTGGAGGCCAAAATAAGACGAAAATCAAGAATAGTAATATTTTGATTGAGGCTTCGTTAAAAAGTTATTAACGTTTAAAGTTCCGCCTGTAGAACAGCTGCGCGCGCACGATAGTGCACACTTCAACTTTAAACGTTAATAACTTTGCAACGAAGCCTCAATTAAAAAATTAGTATTCTTGATTTTCGTCTTATTTTGGCCTCTAGAATCCCCCATTGAAATTTTTCTGGCGTTTTAAAATATATATATAAAGGGGAGTTTATTTTATGGTGTTTAAACATTACCTTTACGTCTGCTGGGAATATCAGAGCCTCGTCATGCTTGACAACGATCGCCTGATTCTCAGCCGCGTATGGCAACAAAGAGTTCCAGCAGCCCACTGCATTCTGGTCGATCAAGTTGAAGAACTGGAGGCCATTTTCGTCCATCACGGACGACGTGCAGTGGCCAAGTGGTCCTCTCTCAGGAAGCACCTGACAATATTTATAATATCTTCGTAATTACCTGTTACAATTATCCAAACATGCTCCAATCTCATCTATCAGGTTGTCCAATATGGTCGTTTTGCAGTACAACTTGAAGCAATATTTTAATAATGGAATTTTATTGCAATTTATTTGTTACAGAATTAATTCTAGAATTTTGGTATCGAAGACTGACAAATTTTGTTTATTTTTTATCAAACTACAAATTCCATTCTCATTAGTTTCAGATGATGACGACCTAACAAAACAATTCCCATGAAACTTGATATGCAAGATGCTCCAAGTCAACTGATAACAAAGGCTCACATTTCTGAGGTATCAAGTTACTAACTCTATTCTCATCAGTTTCAGGATACCTAACTTATGATGACGACCTACCAACACAACCCCCATAAAAATTACTATTCAAAATGCTCCAAGTCAACTGATAATAAAAATTGAATTTCTAGTATACTAGATGCAATCACCTGGAACTCGTGGTAGCTATCCTGGGACAATTGTTCATCCCTGAGGATCCTCGTGGAGACAGCAAATTCCCTCCTGCTGCTCAGTGGGTGGAAGAAGAGGGTCCTGAACCCATCCGCAGCGATGGGTGACAAGCTCATACCGAAGATCCCCTCCTCTCCCCATTGGAAATTCAACCCACCGATGTTGTAGTCGCCAGCCAGAGGATCTGGCATGAAATAGCTGTGGGTGATCCGCCATGATTTATTCTGTTCCCAGGAGTAGACTATCAGGCCATAGCCGAGCTCGTCCGACATGTAGGCGAATGCATCGTTGCAGCCACCTTTCCCCATATCCACGGCGATGTTGGCGATGAAAGTGTTCTAAATTGAGAATTTCACGCGATACAATCGGATTTTTAGCAGAGGAAACACGAATTTTTATTTTGTCAAGAATTTATTAGATGTGAAAATTTCTTTTGAAAACTATTTTGATTAGAATATTCCTGCACTGAGGAAAAGCCATATTGAATGAAGAGTTTTATAGTTTTTTTTGTGATGAATAGGACAGTGTATTTAAATTTTGCACATTTGCAGTATTTCTTGAGAATTAAAATCTCCAATTTTTTTAATGGAACGCCAGAAAAATTTTACTAGAAGATTCTAGAGGCCAAAATAAGACGAAAATGAAGAATACTAATTTTTTAATTGAGGCTTCGTTACAAAGTTATTAACGTTCAAAGTTGAAGTGTGCACTATCGTGCGCGCGCAGCTGTTCTACAGGCGGAACTTTAAACGTTAATAACTTTCTAACGAAGCCTCAATTAAAAAATTACTATTCTTGATTTTCGTCTTATTTTGGCCTCCAGAATCTTCTATTAAAATTTTTTTTCTATATTCAAAATGGCTTCTCAGTGCGGGAACATAAATTCTGAAAAATTGAACCTATAATTGCCCTCATTTTTCAAAGAATAATGCAACTATGCAAAATTGATATTAATCACAATTGTTTCCTTTCTAATTTTGTTCTAATCACAATAGTTATCGAAAATAATTCCTCTCTGTTTATAACAATAACAAGTTATTTATTTAGTGTATAATTAATTGATAGCATGATTATTGAATTGCAGAATTATTTTTCCCCAAAGATACAGACATAACGAAATCTCATCGTTTATGTTCATCGACAGAATAATGATCCAGTAATGAGAATGAGAATTTTTATATTTTTTTGTTTTTCATTTTATGCTCGTGAATGTACAAGGTAGCCCGCATGGTACAGACAGATTTCAATTATTTATAACCCCAGGCTGAAATTATGCACCGGTTGTGTTCCATCTTTGACAGCTTATCAGAATCAGATCTGTTTTTTTCTCTCGTATCGATTGTGTTTTGTTTCGAACCGAGAATATAGGAATTCCCCTCGTTAAAGAGTTAATTAAATCGAAGTGTGTAGCAGAGTATAGCATGGGAAAAATTCACCTGTTAAATTTTTAAACCCTGAGTGTGTTTTTCACCCCCAAATTTAGGGGTTGTTTTCACTGGAGATTAGAATGTTCTAAACACAAAGTGTTGTTAATTGAAAAATCATAATAAAATCATAATAATTAATAAAAATTGTTAGAAATTTACTTGACTGGATTTTTGCAAAATTTTTATTGCATTGTAAATTTTTTGAAGCATTTAATTAATTTCTTTGATAAAAGTAGATATTAATAATGGTAATAATTAATTTTTTTGGTGCAAATAAATACACCATAATTGTCAATGACTCTGGTGTTAAATAAATTCATTATAAAAAAAAATTATACATATATATATATGTATAGTGTTAATATTTAAAAAAAAAAATTTTAGTGTTAATATTTCTTATATTATACTGTTCCAAGTTTGGTATATTACAGTACAAAATATAAGTTTTAATTTTAATTTTCAAATCATGGTGGTTTTAATAAATTTTATAGTTTTTTTTTTTTTTTTGGTAACTTACCATATTGATGTCTTCAGCTCTCAGTCTGTATTGCCTCATGATCTTGTCTGTTGTTAAATCAAAGACATTCAGAGTATAGGGACAGGCCTGTATGGTTGTGTTTCCAATACCTATAGTGCCAGTATCCAACACCCATAATCTGTCACAAGCGTCTGCGTGTATTCTATAAAAATATTAGAAAAATTACATTGTTCATTTCAAAATTACATTGTTCGATTCATTGTTCATCTCAAAAAGTCGTTGCTTAATCAAGTATTTATTTTTCTAAACAGTGGGTGTTGTCAATAAAAAATAGAAAAATATAATATTATGAAATTCAATGTATATTTTTCTAATCAATGAGTGTTGTCAACAGAAAATAGAAAAATATAATATTGTGAAATTAAATGTGTATTTTTCTAATCAGTGTTGTCAACAAATTAGAAAAATATAATATTATGAAATTGAATAATTATTTTTCTAAACACTGGGTGTTGTCAACAAAAAATAGAAAAATATAATATTATGAAATTCAATATTTATTTTTCTAATCAATGTGTATTGTTAAAAAAATTAGAAAAATATAATATAATGAAATTCAATATTTATTTTTCTAATCAGTGTGTATTGTCAAAAAAAATTAGAAAAATATAATATTATGAAATTCAATATTTATTTTTCTAATCAGTGTTGTCAACAAATTAGAAAAATACAATATTATGAAATTAAATATTTATTTTTCCCAGACAGAGGGTGTTGTCAACAAATTAGAAAAATATAATTTTATGAAATTAAATGCTTATTTTTCCCAGACAGTAGGTGTTGTCAATAAAAATTAGAAAAATATTATATTGTGGAATTAAATATTTATTTTTTCTAAACAATTGTGTTGACAAAAAATTAGAAAAATATAATATTATGAAATTAAATGCTTATTTCTCCCAGACAGTGGGTGTTGTCAACAAAAATTAGAAAAATATAATATTATGAAATTCAATATTTATTTTTCTAATCAGTGTTGTCAACAAATTAGAAAAATACAATATTATGAAATTAAATGCTTATTTCTCCCAGACAGTAGGTGTTGTCAACAAAAAAAATATAATATTATCAAATTAAATGTGTATTTTTCTAAACAGTGTTGTCAACAGATTAGAATAATATAATATTATGAAATTAAATGCTTATTTTTCCCAGACAGTAGGTGTTGTCAACAAATTAGAAAAATATAATTTTATGAAATTAAATGCTTATTTTTCCCAGACAGTAGGTGTTGTCAATAAAAATTAGAAAAATATTATATTGTGGAATTAAATATTTATTTTTTCTAAACAATTGTGTTGACAAAAAATTAGAAAAATATAATATTATGAAATTAAATGCTTATTTCTCCCAGACAGTGGGTGTTGTCAACAAAAATTAGAAAAATATAATATTATGAAATTCAATATTTATTTTTCTAATCAGTGTTGTCAACAAATTAGAAAAATACAATATTATGAAATTAAATATTTATTTTTCCCAGCCAGAGGATGTTGTCAACAAAAAAAATATAATATTATCAAATTAAATATTTATTTTTTCTAAACAGTGGGTATTATCAATAAAAAAAAATATAATATAATAAAAATTGATCATTCAGACGACAGTAAATGGGTCTTTTACCCTGCTTATGCTCGTTTGTTATTCTTAAAACAGAACGATATATCTTCCTTGCCTTGTTCTTTCATTACACACAAAAACGAATCGTGAAACGTGGTGTAATTCATTATTGCGATGGTATCGTTCCATGATAATTCAATTAGTACGACGTACGGTTCACAGATCGACGACTGGCATGTAAAATCGCAATTAAAATAACACTATACCCCATAAATTTATGCTCGGAGTGAACCCATGTTTAATTCATTTTATTTTAAATTTATTGCTATTTCTATCTGATACCAAGTAGAACTATCTTCAAATCAATTTTATGATATATCGCAGCCTATTAAAATAACAATTTCTATAAATACAATTTACACGAATTATTGTTTCGAACAATTTTTTTTTGGGTAATTTAAACATAATTAAAAATTTGTCATTATTTGTATACTATTTCAATTTTCAATTTTGATTTCAATTTTTAGTTTAGTTGTAAATTTAAAAAAAAAAATAAAATAAATACCACTCGAAATTTAGATTCACCGTGAATGTTTAATTCATTTTATTTTTAATTTATTGCTATTTCTATCATATACCAAGTAGAACTATCTTCAAATCAATTGGAATGATATATTGCAACGTATTAAAAAAACAATTTGTAACGAATAACGAATTATCGTGGGAAACAATTTCTTTCGAGAATTTCAAACAAAATTAAAAATTTCTCATTACATGTACAAAACGATGATTTCAATTTTTGATTAATTCAATTAAAAGTGTAGAATTTATATAAATGTTAATAATAATTATTGTTAAAGACAGTTCTTTTTGAGGAACTTTTCATTAGTTTTCAATTTTTAAATAATTTATTTAAAAGTGTAAAATTAGAATTTGTATCATTTTTATGCAATTTTATATTGAATTATCGTACCTGTAAGCATTAGTGATCGCACTACCGCAAGCACCAGCCTTGTTTTGCGCCCAATTAGGATAGGGAGTGAGCCTAGGCGAGCCCCCTCGATTCGAGTCCAGTGAAATATAATTCAACGTGGCTGGAATCCCTTCAATCAAACAATTTTCAACAAATATTAAATAAAAATCACTTCGTGACCATGTTTCAATTTAAATAACAGATTTTTTAGTCCAGTGATATACAAAATGTTCGGTAACCCCTGAAAAAATTTTACTAGAAGATTCTAGAGACCAAAATAAGACGAAAATCAAGAATACCAATTTGTTGATCGAGGCTTCGTTAAAAAGTTATTAACGTCTAAAGTTAAAGTGTGCAGACTATCGCGCGCGCGGAACTTTAAACGTTAATAACTTATTAAGGAAGCCTCAATTAAAAAATTACTATTCTTCATTTTCGACTTATTTTGGTCCCTAGAATCCTCCATTAAAATTTTTTTAGGGGTTACCGAAAATTTATGTTACCCATATATTAAATACTTATTTTATTATCATCCAAAATAACAAGAATGAATTATACATAATTGATCTCATTCCTTCGACAAATTTAACGTGGCTGGAATTCCATCAATTTTACAATCACTCCGTTGCGATCGTTGCAAAACAACCATAACGATAAGATCACCGCGCCATTTTAAATAACAGATTTCTATCGTCGTTCGTACAAATGATAAATGGATTTCAATCTCTCGAGCATTGTTTCGAGCCGCGATTTCAACGGTGGAAATTCGCGACACCTGGTACGCGAACAATCGATCGTCGAGCGATATTTCGAAACGAAAGTATTTTTTTAAAAAAAATGCTCGAACATGGATTGTTGAGTCGCGTGACTAACGGAGCTATCGAGCGACACGCACCGTTCGATTTTACCGGAAGTACAGCTGATCGTGCTTGCGACAAGCCTGGAGAATGTGCACAAAGGTTGCAAGATCTGAACCAGTGCAATGATTAATGATAATAAGAATTTTGTGACATGTCAACGTCGCGTGACGAAGTTATCGCGATCGTTGGAACGATGTTTTCAATCGTTTGGACTCCAGTGGTCTACTTTACAGGAATTCGATGAATTTTTTGAATAATTTTTTTTTGGCGCCAATTTTAATTGAGATTTAAAAATTTATCGAAGTTAAATTAATAGTGATGAGGAGGTAATTTCAATTTTCATTGGACAATTGTTTCATTTATATTACCATTATTTTTATTATTTTTATTATTTATATTATTATCATTATTTTTATTCTTTATATTATTATCATTATTATCATTATTTTTATTATTTATATTATTATCATTATTTTTATTATTTATATTATTTTTATGGAAATTTGTATTTTCGTTATTAGAATTGATCAAATGGGAGCTTTGTATTGTCTCAACACCTAAATATAGTAATTTTGTATATTTTTGAATGTTAAATGCCTGTGTAATTTTTTTAGAATTGTAATTTCCCATAAATCTATAAATATCCACAGTTTTTGAATATTAAGTGACTGTGTAATTTTTTTAGAATTGAAATTTCCCATAAATCTATAAATATCCACAGTTTATTGATTAATATAAATTTGTATAATTTGTAAAGCAAATTTCAAATATTCTGTAATAATTTTTTTGTTTAGTTTAGTGTGATTGAGATTTGTTTAGAATTTTTGCAATATCTATGTCACTGAACAATTTTGTTATAGTAAATTTGAACATTTATTCAATAATTTATCAAAGTAAAGTGATTATTTCATTCATATTATAATTAAATTATATCAATTGCAGAGTGAAAATTACTTTTGATCCATAAACTGTGGATTTTTATGGAAATTTATATTTTTATTAATAGATTTAATCAAAAGGGAGCTTTATATAGAGTTGTTTAAATTTTTAATTTAAATATTTTTTATATTTTCAAATATTGAGAGCATTCTGTAATTTTTGGAGCATTAAAATTCCCCAGAAATCCCTAAACATTCACAGTCTAGTGATTAATATAAATTTGTACAATTCACAAAGCAAATCTCAAATATTCTGTAATAATTTTGTTGTTTAATTGAGTGTAATTGAGATTTATTTAATATCTATTTCACTGAACAATTTAGTTACAGTAAATTTGAACATTAATTCAATAATTTATCAAAGTGAAGCAACTATTGATGTGGAGATAATTTCAATTTTCATTGGAACAGGTGTTTCATTTATATTGTAATAAAATTATATTAATTGTGACTGTGGATATTTATGGAAATTTATATTTTTGTTAATAGAATTAATCAAATGGAAGCTTTGTATTGTCTCAACCCCTAAATATAGTAATTTTGTATGTTTTTGAACGTTAAGTGCATTCTGTAATTTTTTGAAGATTAAAATTCCCCATAAATCCCTAGATTTCAAATATTCCGTAATAATTTTGTTGTCTAATTGACTGTGATTGAGATTTATTTAAAATTTTTATAATATCTATGTCATTGAACAAGTTAGTTATAGTAAATTTGACATAATTTCAATTTTCATTGGAACAGTTACTTCATTTATATTACAATAAAATTATATTAATTGTGACTCTGGATTTTTATGGAAATTTATATTTTTGTTAATAGAATTAATCAAATGGGAGCTTTGTATTGTCTGAACCCCTAAATATAATAATTTTGTATATTTTCATACATTAAGTGCATTCTGTAATTTCTTGAAGATTAAAATTCCCCATAAATCCCTAGATTTCAAATATTCTGTAATAATTTTTTTGTCTAATTGAGTGTGATTGAGATTTATTTAAAATTTCTTTAATATCCATGTCACTGAACAATTTAGTTATAGTAAATTTGACATAATTTCAATTTTCATGCATCAAATGTTCCATTTATATAGTAATAAAATGTAATAAAATTAAATTAAATGTAGAATAGGAATAGTTTCTGATCAATAAAGCATCAATCTTTATTTTTATTATAAATGGGAGCATTGTAGAGGGTTGTCTCAATATTGAGATCAAGTGTTCCATTTATATAGTAATAAAATGTAATAAAATTACATTAACTGTAGAATAGAAATAGTTTCTAATCAATAAAGTATCAATCTTCATTTTTATTATTAAAGGGAGCATTGTATAGTATTGTCTCAATATATAATACTGATATATTTATATAAATTCTTCCAAATCAATGACGCTAATAAAATACTGATTTTTTATATCGATACAAAATTATACATTATATATAGAATATAAATAAGAGTAAGAGATAAGTTAGGTTAAGGAAGGTTGTAAGGAAGGTTGCAAGGTAAGGGGGAGTGCTTGTAACCCTAAGTGGAAGGCAATAAAGTTATACTAACTAACTACTGACTATATAGAATATATTCAGATATTTTTTTTTAAATTCATATTAGAAACTACACTATTAACAGAAAGTGTTAAACCAAATTGACGATACTGATATATTTATGTAAAGAAAGAATACTTTCTTTAAATAAAATAATTCTCATCTGAATTTAAGTAGCCAGACAATCGATGACGGTCGATGCTGGAATCACGAGCCGCGAGGTGTCGCGTCGGTGGGGGGTGCCCCCTCCACTTAAGTGTGAATCCTCGAGCGTCTCTCGACAGTCGCGATCGGAGAGGCCAACGAGCAACACGAAACAGCGCGAGAGAGAGAGAGAGAAACGAGTGTGATTCCAACCCATTATCTCGTCTTCCTTCAACCGGTAACAAACTAACGTCTAATCTCACAACAGTAGCTTCCATATTCCCAAATAGTGCATTCTGTAATTATTTTGAGAATTAATATTCCCCCGATCCACAGTCCCACCGACTAACCTAAATTTGTACAATTAGCCAAAGCAAATCTCAAATATTCCGTACTATTTTTCTCGTTTCCGTTTCCTTTCACTTTTCGTTTTGCGTTCCCTTTGTGAGATTCCCATCTTGTGCCCACGTCTGGGTGTGCATTTTTCCCCCTTTGTTCCCCGGCCTCCTGGAAGCTCTCCAGACGCAACCAAAGCCCACCGTGGGTCGGTATTGTTTTTAGAGCGAGGTTTTGTGCGCCCGCCAGCTTTGTTTCTTTCACTCTTTCTTGCGACGTCAGCTCCCCCAGACGGAGGATATGAAATATTAATAAAGGAACGAGGAAGCAACGTTCCTCTCGCGTTCTGTGATCGACTAAACCGATTCGAAATGTTCGATGCAACTTTCAGGGTACAGACGTTGAAATTTTAATCACACTTTGCTAAATATTTGCAAACCGACGTTGATCAGATACTGTTTATATTCTGGTTATTGGTATAATTTTGTCACGATGTAAATGGGACACCTGTTGCACGAAAATTGAAATTAACTAGTCGTCCATGGGTGCTTCGATTTGATGAATTAAATTTAGGATTTTCAAATTGTTGACACTGAAAAAATTCTGGAGAAAACAGAATATTTGACGATTTGATTAGCAAATTGTACAAATTTATATTGATCAGTGAATGTTTACGAGTTTATGGGAAATTTTAATTCTCAAAAAATTATGCACTCGATATGGAAAAATATTTTGTTTATTTTTTGGGTCTAGCTTAAATCTAGGCTTCGAGATGATCAAAAAATTGATGAGTAATACATTGTTTCTTTTTCTAAAAATATGCAATGTCTAAAAAAGTCAATATCCAATTAAATATCAAACGTTGATGCAAATTTATATTTTTATTAATGGAATTGATAAAATGGAAGCTTTGCAAATGTCTCGACCCTCAAATACAATAATTCATATCTCACATATTTCTCATATTTTCTCACATTAACACTTGACATGCGGGTATACTTCGCCAGCAACTTACGCGTGCAGCGGCCATTTTTTCGTGAATCGTGGGAAGCTTGGTTATTCAGTAAAATCACAGTAAATCGAAAACTACTTCGTTTTTATCAACGAAACTTTTTTTATTTTACACTTAAATATATACTGTATGATTGTTTTAACACAGAAAACGATATTTTTACGAAATTACGAAAATATCCGTTATCCATCACAAATCTACTAAACACGTATTTTTACGTGACCCGCGCTCCAACGACAGACTGTAAAAAACGTAAAAATACGTTGCCCGCATGCCAAGTGTTAAGTGTACTCTATAGTATTTTGAAAATTTCCCATAAATGTAATAATAAGTAGATCTGAGTCAATTTTGTTTATTTTTAGGGTGTAGACCTGTGAAAAAATTGATGACTAATTTTTATTTCTTTTTCTAAAATCATGCAATGTCCAGAAAAGTCTAGAAAATATCTAATTAAATATCTCACATACTTTTTATCAATAAACTGCAAATGTTAATGCAAATTCCTAATTTTATTAATAGAATCAATTGAAATTGGAGCTCTCTAAATGTCTCAACTCCCAAAATACAATAATTTGTACCTCAAATGTTTCTAATACATTTGCAAATGAAATGCATTAAACAATTATTTTTTTTTAAATTAAAATTCTCTTTAAATGCATAAATATCATCAATTTTTTTTCATCACACGTTTCTTAATCTCGAATAATTAATTAAATTTTCCAAGATAATTACAATGCACGGAATATACAGTGAAATAATTAAAATTAATTAATTCAACGAGCTCCCGCTAGGTGGCGACACTCGTCTGCGTGAAGATAGTTGATTTTTCGGGACACACGGTATACAGGTTATGACACTCGAGAGATTCAGCCATTTCTCACAAACATTGGCTCTTTTAACACTAATGAACGTTGGTAAATTAAAACGTTACCCAATTTATATCTGCAGTATCGATCTATCATCTAATTACCATAATTACAATACAAATTACGGGGCTACGTAACGCAGTATCTTCAGACGAATCTTTTTATGAAAGATTGCGTTCCCTATTTGATCGTAGACTGATTTCTGAATATATAAATTAATTTTCTTGTGATCTATTAATATTTTACTCATATTTCAGTGGAATATATAACGATTATTAGAATCAATGGTAGATTTAGAGACGTCCATTGCACATATTTTTAGTTTGCATTAAAAAAAATTTTTCTTTTAATTAGAAGATATTTTGCAAGTCCATTTACTTCAATTTTTATAGCTGAATATTTAAATATTTGTGTTTATTACATTAATTTTAGCTGTATTATTTTTTGCATTTAATTTACATTCTATTAATTTACTATTAATTTTTTAATTTAGTATTTTCTAATTTAGTATTGCTGATGAATAATGTTTATTTATTTTCTAACCTCAAATTTGAAATTTAAAGTCCATCAAATTGTTCCATGAAACCTAGTGTTAAAATTAATTTTGAATATTTAAGTATTTGTGTTTATAAAATTAATTTTAGCTGTATTATTTTTTGCATTTAATTTGCATTCTATTAATTCCATTAATTTACTATTAATTTTCTAATTTGATATTTTCATTGATGATAAATAATATTTATTTATTCCCTAACCTCAAATTTGAAATTCAAAAACCATAAATCTAGCGTTAAAATTAATTATGAATATTTCAGTTTATATTTTTAGCATTTAATTTACATTTTATCAATTCTATTAATTTACTATTAATTTTCTAATTTGGTATTTTTATTGCTGACAAATAATATTTATTCATCCCCTAACCTCAAATTTGAAATTCAAATCCATAAATCTAACGTTAAAATTAATTATGAATATTTAAGTTTATATTTTTCTGCATTTAATTTACATTCCATTAATTTTGCAATAATTCATCATTTCCATTGCTAACAAATAACATATATTTGTTCACTAATATTAAATATGGAATCTGAAACCCATCAAATTGTTCCATAAACCTATAATTAAAATTAATTAATTAAATTGCAATTGAAATACAAAAATTACAAAAACAATCGAGTACGAAATATTTCCATATTTCGAAATATGGATCGCGTTCGTGTGCAGCTTTTGTTCTTCGTGCATAATAGTGTCGCGGACCGGAAGTCCTCCAGACGAGACTCTCTTGCACATTATGGTCGCGGCCACTTCCGGTTCCTGGCTCGAAACGTTCGATTTTCGATCTTATTTCACCAAATTGAACAATTTTACATTCTTAGATTCCTTAGAATCATTTAAAAAATCCATTAAATTAGTCTAAATCAATGGTTCGTTTATTATAATTAAATATGAAGTCTCAAAAAAATTAATTTGACTTCGAAATTTCCCCCACTCTCCTTCCTGACTCGAAACGTTCGATTTTCGATTTTATCTCGTCAAATTTAACAATTTTATATTGTTGGACTCGTTGGAATTATTTTATAATTAAATATGAGGTCTTAAAATAATTAATTTGACCTTGAAATCTTCTTCATTACTAAACTTATGCTGAGAAAAATTTATAGTGCATAATGTGCCCCTTGAAATCGAATAATTTTTGTGGAAAACATTTTCTAAAATTCTATTACCATTTTCTAATAATTGTTAAAGGTAACACCCTGTATATGGTCGTCAGGATTAAAATTTATATTTGCATGGAATTTCTTGGGTTGGACTTAAATAAATATAGTATTTATAGATTATTTTAAATAAAATAAATACAAGTTACCATAACCTAAAAATCTAGATTCGATTTAAATGAATATTGTATATTATTTAAAAAAGAAATACCACCCATTAGAATATAAAAATTCAAGTTTGATTTAAATAAATAGTATCTACAGTTTATTAAAAAAAAAAAAAATACCACCCGTTAGAATATAAAAATTCAAGCTTGATTTAAATAAATAGTATCTACAGAATATTTAAAAAAAATTCTAGTTATTAGAATGTAAAAATTTGAGTGCAATGAAGTATAGTAAAGATTGTTCGTTTGGCTTACCATTCCGCCATCTTGGAACGGTGACGAAGAGTCTGTTGCGCCATATTTCGATTCCAACGGGCAGTGCATTCTCCGGGACAAAGTCCCCCTTCATCATCGCGATTCTTCTGCTGGTTTCGTCCGGATAGGCGTAGTCCAACGTTCTCCAGAAAAATCTTTCCAATAATGGGGCCTGTCCGAACTGTGCACCCCATCTTTGGATACCGTTGGTACTCCTGGTCCCCAGATAGAACAAACTCACCAGCAACAGTTCTCGAATCATGTTGACTGCAGCTCTGGACAGTAATTGCATTTTGAAATTAGAAAATTTTCAGTTTTTTGAGGTTATTTTTAATGGTCAAGTTTCACTATCATGAGGCTACTTGTCATCTAGTCTTATTGCATATCGAAATCAACACATTTTTATTTTCACGAGGTATTTGTAAAATAAATTTCGTGAAATATAGTATATTCCTTGTAGGAATAAATTTAGAATTAAATAAAATTAGAATTAAATAATTTGGAATTAAATCGTGGAGGGTTAGTTTGCTTTTTTTGAAAAATTGCAAAAGAATCTCGATTATTCCAGAAATTTTCTGTTTACGTTTGAAGTTTGCACTAATAATAAAAGCAAAAATTGTGTTCGAATAGTTCTATTTAGAATTGATTAGGAATTGGAACAAATTTGAACAAAATTTAATTATTGTTTTTGAGTCTCGATTATTTGTTAAGAGTAATTACTTTCATTCTGTCTTTTAAGTCCCGATTATTGCAGAAATTTTCAGCTTTAATTTTTTTAATTAACCCCCCTCGACTTTAATTTCAAATGAAATTTTTTGAACTATTTAATTTTGTTTAAATTCGTTTCAATTTGTCAATTAAATCGATGTAAAACTCCATTTTTTTCGAACAAAATTGTTGGTCCAAGATCGAAGGTCAAAGGTTCAATTCACCCCCCTCTCTAATAGTTATGAAATATATTTGAAAATTGTATCTATTGTTTATGGAAAATTTAAAGGTACTTCAGTATGTATTTAATATAAACTTGATTGTTTTGGATCCATTTTATAATTTAAAAAATATTCTTGCTAAAAATGAAGTAGATCCCTATTTACCGACAGAGCAACTCATGGTGTTTGCCTAAGCGATACACTGTAGCGAGCAGCTGGCAGCACATGAGTATCATGATCATATCTTTGAGTTCCATACACTCAAACACAATTCTTTTTTTGATTTCAGAATTTCTTTTCCCCATCAAAAAATAAAGCTTGTCTATTTATATTCCCTTTTCACAAATGTTGGTCAAACTTTTTGGTATTTCAAAAGAAAAGAAAATAGCATCAATATCAAATATAATAGGTTATGGTCTTCTCTTTGAATGCACTCATAAAGGAGAGTAGATTTTTTTTAAGAAATAGGTCCACAATTGTATTTTTTAAGAATTTTTCCCATGAAGGTTTATTAATTTCTTTTTAATAAATCTATGTCAACTTTTTGGGTATTTCAAAACAATAGAATATAGCATCATTATCGAATATAATAGTTTATGCTCTTCTCTTTGAATGCACTCATAAAGTAGAGTGGATTTTCTTCATAAAAATATATCCACAATATTTTCTTTTATTTTAAAAATGTTTTCCCAAGAAGATTTATTAATTTCTTTTTAATAAATCTATTTCAAATTTGGGGGTATTTCAAGACAATAGAAAATAGAATTCGTATTAAATAGTTTATGCTCTTCCTTTCAAGTAGACTTAGAAAGTAGAGTGGATTCTATTCAAGAATTAGATTCACAATTTTCTTTAAATTTTGGAATTATTTCTCATCAAGAAATGAAGCTTGTCTATTAATTTCTTTTTATCAAATATACATAAAAAATAGTAGAAAATAGCATTAATATTAACAATGTTATTTGTCATCAAAGTAGAACATAGAATTCTATAATTTGGTAATAGAGAATCTATCATAGTGATATATTGTATATTATAGTGATATAAAGTGTATTATAGTGACAAGCTTCAGGAGTTTCTTCCATAATTTTTGTTTAATTGAAGAATTATTTTTCATTGAGAAATGAAGCTTTCTTTTTATCAAATATATACCAAATTTTTTGGTATTCCAAAACACTAGAAAATAGAATTCTATAATCTGGTAATAGAGAATCTATTATAGTGAAATATTGTATATCATAGTGATCAAGCTTCATCTCAAGAGCTTCTCTCCCATTTTTTTTCAAACTTAAAACTTATTTTTCATTAAAAAACTAAGCTTGTTTATCAAATTTCACTCTCCCAAATCTCCATCAAACTTTTTAATATTCTAAATAATATAAACTAGCATTAAAATTAACAATTATAATTGCCATCAGACCCAGAACATAGAATTCCCTAATCACCTAATAAATAAACAATTAAACTGTCGACAGAGCTTCCATCTCACAGAAAACTGAACTAAATTGCATTCCTAATCTCAGAAATATTAATGCAGACGTGAACTAAGCTCGATATAGCGATCTAGGTATTCCCCGAATGTTCTAATCTCGTGTTAGGAATAGTTTTAGCGATTCCGGAAATTATCCGCGAACGTGGAATTCTTTCGAGTGTGTATTCACCGAATTGGATCCCAGTACGCTGGTTAATCGCGTAAAGAGAAATGGAGAACAGCACGTGGCTGGTGTCCACGCAGCATTTATGCATCGCGTTAAATTATTGTCAGAGGCTACGTAGTAAAGTATTTCATGCGTGTCGGGTGCAACAGATCGATCGTAACCGATAGATATCGTCATGGTTCACCGCGCGATACGATCGAACAATTATTCACTTCCTTATGGTCGTTAATTAACGATTGTTCGGGGGGAACGTTTCTTTTCCAAATTAGCGGACGATCTCCGTTTGGATTAGCGGTGATGTCTCTTGCGAAGGGAATTTTATTTTCGTTGGAAATTTTTTTATTTCGATAAGAGACACTTTGGAGACACTTTGGACAGTGGAATTTTAAATTTTGAGTGGAAGTTTGAGATTTTCGAAACAAATTTAATTTGATTGAAAATGGTGATAATTAGAGATAGAGGTTTTAGTAAATTCAATTTCACTTTGGATAAAATTGAATTTCGAGTGTTGAGTAGATGTTAGAGATTTTGGAAAAATACAGTTTGTTTGAAAATATTAAAAATTGAACGAAATTAATAAAATCGGTGGAAGAACGATTTTTTCTGGATAAAATTGAATTTCGAGTATTGACTAGATTTTGGAGATTTTGGAAAAGTGTAATTCATTTGAAAATATTAAAAATCAAACGAAAGCAATATTTTAATAAAATCAATGCAAAATCGATTTTGCTTTGGATGGAATTTAATTTGAAAAATTGTGTAGATTTTAGAGATTTTGGAAAAATATAATTCGTTTGAAAAATGAAAATTGAACGAATGAAATATTTTAATAAAATCAATGGAAAATCAATTTTGCTTTGGATGGAATTAAATTTGAAAAATTGTGTAGATTTTAGAGATTTTGGAAAAATACAATTCGTTTAAAAATGTTACAAATCAAAGGAAATTAATAAAATCAATGGAAGACCAATTTTTCTTTGGATAAAATTAAATTACAACTATTGAGTAGATGTTAGAAATTTTGAAAAAGTATAATTCGTTTAGAAATGTTAAAAGGCGTTCAAAATTAATAAAATCAATGGAAAATCAATTTTGCTTTGCAGAAAACTGAATTTTAACTATTCAATAGATATTAGAGATTTTGGAAAAGTTTAATTTGTTCAACAATGTTAAAAATCGAACAAAATTAATAAAAATCAATGAAAATTCAATTTTGCTTTGCTTAAAACTGAATTTTAACTATTTAGTAGATATTAGAGATTTTGGAAAAATATAATTCGTTCAAAAATGTTAAAAATCGAACTTCCTTTGCACAAAATTAAATTTTAACTATTCAAAAGACGTAGGAAATTTTTGAAAAGTTTAATTCATTCAAAAATGTTAAAAATCAAACTTGTTTTGCACAAAATTAAATTTTAACTATTCAGGAGATATTAGAGATTTTGGAAAAAATATAATTCGTTCAAAAATGTTAAAAATCAAACTTGTTTTGCATAAAACTGAAATTTAACTATTCAAAAGACGTAGGAAATTTTTGAAAAATTTAATTTTCTTAAAAATCTCAAAAATCGAACTTGCTTTGCATACAAAAACTGAATTTTGAACTATTTGATTAAATATTACAAATTTTGGAAAATTACAATTCCTCTTAAAATCTCAAAAATCGAACAGAACAAATATTATTATAAAATTCAACAAAAGAACAATTTTGCTTTTCATAAAATTGAAATTGAACCTTCGAATAGATATTACAAAATTAAAAAATACAGAACGTAAGAATTATTTAAACAAAATCAACAAAACTATTGAATGGTTACAATATTTGAAAAATCCAATTTTCCTGAAAATCTTAAAAATCGAACTTGCTTTGCATAGAAAACTCAATTTTAACTATTTGATCAAATATTACAAATTTGGAAAAATCAGAATTATCCTAAAAATCTCAAAAATATCTCAAAAACAAATATTATTACAAAATCAACAAAATGGCGATTTTCCATTTCATAAAATTGAAATTGAATTCCAGAAAGTATGTAATATTTAAATAAAATCAACAAAACTATATTTCGTGGTTGCAACAAGAATTTTAAAAAATTCAAATTTCCTTAAAAATCTTAAAAATCGAGCTTTGCATAAAACTGAATTTCTCACTATTTAATTAAATATAACAAATTTCGAAAAATCACAATTCCTCTAAAAATCTCAAAAATATTATGAAAACAATAGAAGAATTTTTCATTTTATAAAATTGAAATTGAACTCCAGAATCTAAGTAATATTCAAATAAAATCAACAAAACTAAGTTTCGTGGTTGCAACAAGCATTTAAAAAAATTCAAATTTCCCAAAAATCTTAAAAATCGAGCTTTGCATAAAAACTCAATTTTAACTATTTGATCAAATACAAATCAAATATCAATGACAAATTTTGAAAAATCACAATTCCCTTAAAAATCTCAAAGACAAATATTATTACAAAATCAACAAAATAACGATTTTCCATTTCATAAAATTGAAATTGAACTCCAGAACCTAAGTAATATTCAAATAAAATCAACAAAACTAAGTATCATGGTTATGACAAAAATAAAAAAAAAATTCAAATTTGCCGAAAATCTTAAATATCACCCAAATTTGAAATATTCGAAAACTCAATTAAACTTAAAGATCAATTTCAAAATCCAACTCTCGAAAATCACCAAAACTACGTTTCGTGGTTGCAACAAGAATAAAAAAAAAAATTCAAATTTCCCAAAAATCTTAAAAATCTATCAAATTCGAAATATTCAAATAAACTCAATTAAACTTAAAAATCAATTTCAAAATCCAACTCTGGAAACCCACCAAACTCTACATAAAACTAAAACGGAGAATCGTGGCGCAAAGTGCCATCGAATTAAGCTTCCAAAATGTCTCCTCGAACCCGTTAGCTGTCCCCCAGAGTCCCCCTTCGCGACGTTCAATCTTCCACGAGAGATTCCCTTCCGCACCAGCACACGCTCCGCAACCGTTTTTCTCTCTTTTCTCCCGTTCCCGAAATTAATTTCACTGCGAATATCATTAAGTACGGTCGGCCATACGATAATTCGAGGCGTCATTAATCAGCCTCGTAGCCCCTCAACGACAAGTAGTCTTCTCTCAGCTGCTCGAAATCACAATCCCTCCCTCGCGAGAAGAATCTTTATCAAAAATTTCAACGACCATTTCGAACACGAAATTTCATGGGAGAAAAACTCTAAATCTATGGTAAACTAGGGGTTGATCGATCACCTTTAGAACGAACGGTAACACGGTTTGTAGAAAGCTAGTGACGAACTGTGGAAGTAAACTGTTGGTTCCTGCAAATCTGCACTGATATATATGTACTCAGTTCGTCTGACGACGTAGCCACCCAATAGGTTCCTGTGGACGTTCACTCATACGTGGGTACATTCCCATCCACAAATATCCGGAAATCCAACCGGGTAGACTGAAATAATAGCCTCGTTGTTACGTTTTCCCCGGTCTGTGGATTCCTCGAAACGCTTTGAAACCTTCCTTTCGACTATTTTTCTTCTGGCTACTGCTGCAGGAACACAGATGGGGGGGTTGAAGTGATCT